AAAGTTGAAAGAGAGGGAATGTACTGCTGGAGATCAGGTAAATCATCTTAGACAGGACTCAGAAAAGCTGAGAAACTTAAATAAAATTACTGAGGAACACAGACCCAGGAATAAAATTCAGGTCTGATGACTTGTAGCTGTCTGCTCACCACTCCACTATCGCATTTAATGTGTGGGAAGGGAAATGGCATACTGTATTTAGGATGTCAGAATTTACTTCTAAAGAGGTAAATAATTCATCAAACTCCATAACAGTGAACACTTCCCTGCATCTATGATGAGCTATGCTCAAGCATTTAAGACAACAGCACCACTCACTTCCAAGTCACAGTTCTCATGAAAGAAGAGCATTTGAGGTGATATTCTTGGCTTGTTAAGAGCAGCAGATGCCCATGTGTTGAGATCTGTTTTGACAGAATTTAATCCCTTTGCAGTTCTTTTGTGTGTGTCTGGTTTTTTTTTATAATATTGTCTATCTCACTCCTCTATAAAGCAAAATCCTAACCATGATGTCTGATGCATGCAGATAGCCATGGGCTTGTCTGTTCACTAAAGATTTAAAAAGAGAAAACATAGTGAATGACCTGGCAAATTCTTAATTGTGAATTTTTCTTTCTGAAAAACATGCAGGAAAAAGCTGTGGGTATTGGTTGAAAAGACGGTTACAAAAGAAACAAAGAACAGAAAGGAAACAGTGCAGACATCCAGGGCACATCCATATCTTGAATATTTCAAGAATTTCATCCCACAAACCAGACATGAAGAGTAGATGCAAAAAAAAAGTAACAAAGATGCTCAGAGAAGTATGCCTTCCTACAGAAGAAGATAACAGATTAACCCTTTGGTTTAGAACGTAACTGGAGGTCCTACACTGCAGAGAGGGTGACGAGAATGATTATTCAGCTTCTTGCAATATGAGAACTACAGAAGACCCAGTAGTATCAAAACTAAATCACGAGTAAGTGCTTCCTCACAATAAGCAATTAAACAGGAGTATTCATCACCACATTACATTTGGGAAATAAAACTACGGGGAAGGGGCTCAAAATTAAGTTAGTTACAGTCACATAAGACTGGTGCACCAGCAATTTCCAAAGAAATCCCTAAATTACTGTTTGAATTTGGGAAGATAAACTATGGAAAAGGTCACTCAGATACATGCTTTGTTATACTTCTCTGAAAGGATCTGTCATACTGGTTGTACTAGATTAAACAAACTTTAGATATGAACCAGCATGAAAGTTCCTTTATTTTCAGTCTAAAGGCTTTAAAGGTTTCCAAAATTGGACTTAAAATGATTGTAAAGTGAATAACTATTAACAAATTTTGGACAAACAGATGAGTATCATGTAATTAAGGCGGATTTCAATGACTGCCAAAAAGACTGACATAGTCTGGGAGTAGTTCAGCAAGAGTTGGCATATCCTTAGAAAACAGGGAGAGTATGGTTTAGGCATTCCTCATATGACCAGATTCACATAGATCATTGCATATGATACAATAAGAAAATAAATTGAAGTGAGTGAAGTGCAGACCACGATGATCACTGGAAAGCTTGCAGTATGGCTGCATGCAGACACTATTTTCCTATCACTAGAGGAAGTGGATAAATTTGTTATTGGAGGCCTACAAGTTTATACCCTGCTCAAGCACCTTTAGTTTGACCTAAGAATGCTTCCCGTGTTCACAGCTGTATGTTAAGCAGACCCTGAAGTCTATATATCTGTGTAGAAAGATTTCAACAGCCAGTAAAAGCAATTTTCTGGAGAGCCATCTCCTTCCATTTCAAAACAAATGAATTTACATCAGCTGTGAAAAGTGAAGAATGCTTTCTGTCACCTTTGTATCACCAGTTTTTGACAGCATCAGTGACAAAATCTGGCACGCAATCTCCTCTCAAGTCAACACCAGAGATGGAGGTAGACATCTATGGAGAAAAAGCACAAGTTATTTCAAAGCAGCATCATAGTATTCCCCAGATATCCTGGGGATCCTCTGTAAGAGGCAACCCAAGAAGTAGCAAGGCTGTGCCCTAAAGAAAGCTGGATTATAGAGTGCTTTGTGCATAGATCATTCTAAATTTATTCCTAGCTCAAGGATAAATACTATTTCTTTCTAAATACCACACATGAATCAGGATCACATTATGATATCTGTATCTTCTCTTTCAAAAGAAAGATTTTCCCCAGAGATTACTCACAAACTGGGTAGAGTTAATCAAATTAACCTTGAATAACTTTCGAGAAGGCAGGAGCAGCCCAGGGGCCAGCCTGGCTGGTTCTTTCTGACTTCCAAACCCACCATTAGAAGCTTGCATCTGAAGACTGCTGGGCTTAGGTCTGCCACCCTTATAAATCAAGCTAAACCTGTATGGTCTGTACTCCTCTGTCCCCAAGTTTTGTGTCAGGGAATATGTAAAGCGTGAATACATAGAGATCTGAAGTGTATCTGAACTTGCTTAGTGCTGGGAATGGCAGGCAACAGTCCTTGTACGAGAGAAAAACCTTTGGTCTTTCTACCACTCACCTCGCCCAGCACTGCTTTTTAGAGGAAGTTTCTGCAATGAAGCTAAAGAAGTGAATGCATTACCTTTGGCAACATCTTGCCTAAACAGAGGTACTGCAACCAATGCTACCTTCAACATAAGAGAGAATTTCTAACAGCTTTTTATTGTGTCAAGTACTATGAAATCTATCAAATTCTCCACTCAGGAATCACTTCAGTCAAAGTGGATTACCAAAGTAATTCTCTTAATCAGCAAGTTTAGTGCACAGTGGCACTTTGCAGAAAACAGCTTATAAAACTGTAAACAAGAATTGCTTTTCAATTATGCAGACACCCCTGCCTTGATTCCAGGTGATGCCCAAAATTACTGCCTTATAAATAACGTATTTATTTCTATTCAGGAGACAGTTCTCTGTAGTAAAACAATGCCACTAATAAATCACACTGCTTGTAGAGCTAGAGCTGACATCCCTTTACTCAGAACATGCTGTTACTGCCATATGTATATATATGCATAAGATAAAATATTCTGAGTACTTTACAGGTGAAGAAACAGCAATTTAAGCAACAAGAGTGACTTTACCAAACTAAACATAATATGAAAAACCTAAGGTGGGGTGTGGGGAACACCAAACAACCAAAACCAGCAAAGAACGTCTTCCACCTCAGCTACCTCCACAAGTCCATATTTGTCCCTGTATTCCTACCCAGTCTCAAGTAATGTTGCTTGTTCAGAACACTAGAGCTATAATCAGATCAATTAGGTCACAACTAGGAAAAAAACCTCCTTCTATTTAGGAGAAAACATCAAAGACTAATTATTACTCATACCGATTAAAAAAAAAAATCTTAGCCATTTCTCTGCATAAAGCCTTTTTAAATTGAGATCTAAAAATAGACAGACAGACCACAAGCAGACTTAAACAATTTTATCAGTGGTTGATTTATTTCAGCTTTCTGCTCTCCCTGGTCGCAGTTCAGTGCAGCCCATAAATAAGTTACGCTGGCGAAGAAGATTGAATTTTTGAGGCCAGAACAGTAATTGAGGAATTGAACAGCCTGGAGGCTGAAATACCGTCTCCTGGGACATAAGTCTTTGGACCTATTAGCAGCTGTCTATATTGCTTTTCCAGCCATTGACACATATGACCATGTCAACATATTGAACTGATTTGTTTCTTTGTGTCACAAAAGATCATATGTGTTCTGGGCTCCTTCACGCTGTAAGAACACACCAAGTCAGTTAGCTACATAAATTACAGCACAGCCAACATTTTCCTGCAAACTGACAGCTTCCAGTCACCATCATGTTTCTCTCAGGAACTGGTTTTCAGTATTTTAAAGACACCCAACCAAATGTAATATTTAGGAGGTTAGGAAAAAAGGTTGGATACAGTTTTTAAGCTGTACGCTTTTACGGTATAGTTACAGGAAAAAATGTTATTTCAAAAATGTTTTTACTGTATTGAACACCTTTTGTTTCTCGGCTAGTTTGCAAAATTACCATTATCCACTGAATCTCAAAGATTTTTCCCTTGCTAAGTATTAAAAAGACAGACCTTTCAAAAAAATATGGGAGGGCCTAATTTCCTGTGAAGAAAATCCGTACCAGTTCAGCATAACTCAATTCTGGAGAAAGCAGTAATTTTCACTTTTTCCACACCATATTTGTCAGCACTTGCAAATAAAAGACTGAAAGGGAAGCCTGAGAAGGCTTTTGCTTTTTTTTTTTTTTCTTAAAAACAAAACAAACAAGAAAACAAAACAAACAACCCACCATCACCCACCACTTCATTTTTTTCAGGCGTTCTCTCAAGATCAAATTTTCACAAGATAAGAGACTCCACAGATAACCAAAGCAACAAACAATAGATTGCAAAATCAACCCATGACCAAAGGCAAAAAGAAGTTATCTCCAGGTCTTACTTTGTATGAAGAAGTGTAAATGGCCTCAGCAAAAGGATCTGAGCTCTCCAGGGCCTGTTTTACCTCAGGAAGGCGCCCTTGTTTCTAAGATGGCGCCACCATGGGCGTGCCGCAGGCTTGCAAGGCCAAACAGGAACGGTTCCCCACACAGCACCCTGAGCAGCGGGGTTTGGGATAGTTAAGATGACAATCACATACCGAGAAAAAGATGAAATTTGATAAAAGATCTAGCAGGCGTCTCTGGGGCCTCGTGGGAGTGCTGTAAGCTCACAGGGCCACAGGCCTGCGCCAGGCTCTGCGGCACAAGGTGAGGCAGCAGCTACAATGTGTTAGCAGGACGTTAACCTTCTCCTGAAAACAAAGCCAGTGCTTAACTTGAAGCCATTAAAGTGATGGATTAAAAAGGAAAAGGGGAAATACGAGAAAAAGTCACTTCATAAATCACTATTAAAAATCCACATTTCCACCTTTTGCACAGTCTGTAAAACAACAGAAACATACATCTGGCTTTGTTTTGTAAGAAAAGATGACAGCAACTAAAACTAGAAGACATTTCTTGGAGTATCACATTTATTCTGATCGATCCCATCATACTTTATTTTGAAGAAAGGCCTCCAATCACATCAAGTACAAACACAAAACAGCAAGAGTTTGCTGGATCTAGTAAATGCCAAGGAAGACAGGCTGTATACTGGAAGTAAGCACTATCAGTAATTAATAAATAATTTTTCTGATTAAATATCAAATCAAACGGACACATCATCATCAGTCTTGTAACAGACTGTACTCACGGTACCTTGTGCTCCACACTCCTAATAGATCTCACCACAGACAGGATCAGTGATATGCACATATGACACGAAAACAGAGATCTCTAATGAGTAACAATGTGCTGCTCATTAAATACCGTCTCTCCAACTTGCTACTGAAGGGGGAACTGATGGCAGGTCCTGCCACCCCAAAAGGCTGGGCGTTGCTCAGCGCCAGAGACAGAAGGCAGATGAGGGCTCCCCATCTGCTCAGCTGGACATTTTCTTTCCAAGTCTTGTAAACAAAATCAAAAATTTAAAGGAATTTCCAGTCAGCTTTGTCTTATTGAAAATTTTCATCCCAAGCAAGCAAAGAAAATCTCTCTTCACCAAAATGTCTTTGAATAAGAACAATTCCTATTAGAGATGTGGTTTGACAGAGAGCCCCCTAAAAGAAAAGAAAAACCCCCCATTCCTCCACAGCTCAGCAGCTCCTCGGGAAGGTCTCTGCATGCGGAGACGGGCAGGATGGAGGATCACCAGCCCCATGGTGTTCTTCAGCTGCAGCTGTTCACCCCTCACCATGTGCTGTCTCAGCAGCATCCTGCTCTAGCTGACACAGACAGGAGAACAGGACATCACAGCAATTAAATAAAAATTAAAAAAAAAGATAAGAAGAAAATCACAAGGGCACCTTCAGAACGGGTGCTTATGACAAATGTTTGAACTCAACTACTTCCTATGTATTCACAAGGCACACAAAAGGCAGGCAACAAGTCTCTGCTTTTCAGGAAAACAGTATGCCTGCACAATGATGGACAACTTCAGAACTGACTTCCAAATAGCCCTTACTTGCAATTATACTATTGCACAGGCTGTAACGAAGTACACAGACTAAGCAACTCATAGAACTGGCAGGATGTTCAGCATTTATGGTTGTAGTGTATTCCTCAAATGGCTCTTCTCAGCTGCTGCAAAATGAGTGTTTCACTTGCAAACCCTCATAGGAAAGGGTTAAAAATCCCATAGAGACGCTTTTATAGAGCACACAAAGAAGTTAAGGACTGCAGTTCATTTAAAGATGCAGACAGAAAAACTATGGATAAAATGTAATATAAATTATTTAATACTAAGAAAACCTCATATGAAGTAAAAGATTGTCTATAAATACTGCATAACATCCAACGGGATTATTCATCACCTTTCTCTGCTTTGCAGATTTACTTTACTATTTTTGGAGAAAATTAAAACTTGGCACTCACTGAACACCGTATCTTTAAAACTCAGTAAAAGAAAAATCGGTAATAAGATTTTTAGATAAAGCATTCTATTTCAAGGGTTAAAGACATCAAATACTATGGTAAAATGAGCCATGCAAGAAATACATTTCCCAAGCTGAAATACTGAGTCAACTTGCTCAGCTACACATAGACATACTAATTAACATTCTGTGAAGGTCTCCTTTCTCTATATCCAAGGATTATACTGCAGCAGCTTAGTGATTTTACCCCACTGAAATGTTTTCTGGTCAACTTACCATAGGCTTTTCAGATGTTTATTTATATTACAGTTTAGAGGGGAAATAATAATACTGTACACCTAAAATACTTATCAGCTATTATCAGCAAATTTTAAACTATAGCAAAATTTTAATTTCATTAAAATATGAAGGAATTACATATTTTTATTACTAGAATTGAATTATTTTTATCTCAAAGTTTTCTAAATAGCTAAACATAATTAATAAATCACAAGATGAAAAACTGAGTACAATACCTGTTTATTTCACGCACTCCACATCGCCCCCTTTCATATGTTCAAATGTGACTTTTCTGACTACACAATACACATGTAGGTAGTAGGCAGGAGGAAGTTTTCCAGTGCTTGATACAGCACATACTGAAGCTTGGAATAGAACTACGAATTATGATTTTTCAGGATAACTAGCACTGACAAGAAAGTAAATACTATTTTAGAGGCCTTTGAAAGGCTTCTCTGAGCAGAGTATTTATCTCAGTACTGATGACACAGTGAATAAAGATAAATCCCACCACAGTACGCAAAATGTCAATGCTTTAACACGATCTTCTTCTCTATTGAAATAATCTTGAGCATTAGGTAAAAACAGTGAAAAATGTGATTTATTGAGCATCTCAGTCAGCACGATTATATGTCAGATTTGAGTTTCAGTAGGTCGGGGGAATGGCACGTCCATCTTCAGACTGCATGCTATCACCTCTACCATTTTCCAAACAGAAGAATGTCCAATGTTAGCTTTGCCAGGCTTAGGTGTCAACTGCAATGTAATCTTGGGGAAGCTGACTTAAAAAGGAGTACATGCATTCATAACAAACTGAAAAATTTTCCCAATAACAAGAGTGAAAATAAGTCTGGACTGCACTGGACTGACAAAAAAGAATACATCCTGCTCCACCTTGTAACCATTAAGATCGATTTTTATCTGCTTTTGCCAGTATGAAAGCACAACAGATAAAGCAGGAAAAGCTCAGGACCAACATCTTGTATTCCTTAAATTACTAAGGAAAAGTTATCCAAAAATAGTATCTCAAACAATATGCCTTATCCTCCTTCCTGCTGACAAGGTTTGCTCAAATTACATGACTGAAAGTACTGCCCAAGCAGTATCCATCTTATTATTTATAAAACCAAAAATCATTCAAACTGTAAATGACCACTATTCATTAAAATATGTTTTTCTTCAACTGTAAGCACAGTTCTAAATGATGTCAGGTGAGGCAGTAAGGAACTATAACTGCTGAAGAAATATAAATAGAAAATAAAAGCATTTTAAGAGTCTTCTTCCATAGCCACATCCTCTTGTAACTTCTGTACCATTTTGTCCTCCAGCTGTTTTGGTGTGCCTTCAAAGCAAAGAAAAAAAATAAATTAAAGGTGTCTCTCTCAACCTAAATAACTGTTTTTCTTTGAACAATCTATGTGTCTATTCTAGGTGAAACAGCCTAAATATATTGCTTATAAAGTTTTTTGGGAGTAAACCCATCAAGCTTATAAGTATTTATTGCTAACCTCCATCACCACTTAAACTACTAAAGAATTGTTTTAACAGAAAAGCTGATGCTGTTTTTATGCAAAATCTTGAATACAGTCAACATATGCTTTCATCAAGTATGATGAACTTTTGATATATCTGGCAATACCTGGCAGAACCCTGCAAACGGACTGCAAAAATGGATTACTTTTAAAAGATGAATGGCCTTAGAAAAATTTAAGCCCTCCTGAATGCTGTGTTGGATGGCAATAGTGTTAACTTGTGTTAACACTATTGTTAATAGTGTTAACAATGCTACCAAAATCAAACCAAAAAAAAAAAAAAAAAATCTGGGACTGATACTGGATTCTGCTCTCTTGAAGGCTAGGCAGGAATTGCAAAACAGTGAAGAGGTAGCTGTTTGACTAACAGATGTACGATGTGCTATTGTGCATCATTCATTTAACATAAGCAAAGCCAGACAAAAGAAATGAACACTCGGATTTAATCTTTTGAATTCAGATCCTTTTTTGTTTTCTTTCCTCAAAAAACAAGGGACAGATGAAACAAAAGTTTAAATATATATTGACAAAATCTTGTTTCACATACATACAATCATAGACTGTAGTTAACGCAAGCTGGAAAGAAACCCCATAGAGCAGAATTCTACTTAATGTCTAATAACATGTCACATCTACATTTGCAGAGACAAAATCAATGGTAATTTTTATAAAACAGGAAGTAATGGAAATGTTTGTAACATCTCGGCATTATTTAATTCCATTAATTGTATTTAAAAAAAAAAAAATCATCTTTACAATCCATTTCTATCAACATCATCTAATATAAACTAGTACTTGTAATAAAGAGTTCAGAAACCAGAAAATTATTTAGAACAGGTTTCTCCAACTGAAAAACTCAGTTCACTAACAAATGATATATATTATTATATCTGAACTAGGCACAGATTTGAGGGAAAATCTGTTAAATTACCATATTTTTTAAAATGTTAGGCTTACACTGAAGAAACAGCATTTTCATGCACGTTTCATTATACACAGTGAACTGCAAAAAAAAACCCCAACTCATAATTAGCTAACAAATTCAAAAAGTAGAGTTGAACTACTGTATTTTATTTGTCAGTGGCACAGTCTGTTGACTTCAAATAATCAATTCAAAGGGAAGACTTAAATAAACGGATTGGTTAACAAACGTGCAGTTCAGAGAGTATCAGGTATTGAGTGCAGTTTAAAATACTCAAATAAGGAAATGGAAGGATGAATGCAGGACTAGGCAAATAAAAGGCATGTCTGATTCAGAACAAAGACACTGCCTCCATTTGGTAGCAAGAGCTATTCTCCACATTCAATAGACAAATTATTTTAAGAGAAATGCACAGGATTATTTATCTGTAGAATTAATCATACCCCAAAAAAATCAATATTAATCATAAAATTGTATACACAAGTTAACCTAAGCAAACCAGGTAAAGCAAGTTCTTACCTGCATGTGGGGCACGAAGAAGGTGGATGTTCTGTTTGACTTCTTTGATGTCTTCTGCTTTCTGCAACTCTTTGCTCTTCTTTAATCTGGGGGAGGGGAATTAAATGTAATTACCCTCAAAGAGGAGATGTATGTTTTCGCTTTAATGCGTGACACACATCTTTAGCTAAAGGTATGTAAGCAGTAACTAACTATGATTATAAGGAAATAAAGGTTAAAAGTATTTGAAAACCAATTAAAGCATATACTGGGTACAAAACCAGGAAAAAAAAGCCAGGAAAAAAAAGCCAGTATTATATCAGCTCTTACCAGAAATTTTTTTAAGCCTAAGACTCCATATTACAAACAAGGAAATAAAACTATTATCATTGAGCGTCCAAAAGCTACATTTCACTAGACAGCCAATAAAGCATAGTAGTTTGGTATCACAGTAGAGCCCACTGAAAATATTTTACCCTATTGCTTGGATGAATGTGTGCGTACAAAGCAAATAACCATTTAAAAATTTTGATCATCATGTCTCTGGAAAAATCGACTGTCTAATACAGACTTGTGAGAGCTCCCATAACACAAATACTTCTCCTCACCTGTTCATAATAAATCTGGCTTGGCGTTTTTGCTTTATTTCCTCCACTCTCTTCATTGCATCAACTGAAATAAAGCAGAAGTTGTTTTAAATGTGCTTACATACCTACGGTTGAAAATACATGTGATTTTGCAGAACAACACTACCAGCATCCCATAATAGCTCTGTATCAGAGGCCACTCTTATACTATATAGAGGAAGTTATTTCTTCTTCAAAGAGCAGACTAGAGGAATATTCTGTGTACCAACTATGATGAACTGTATTTTAAAACTTGTTTATGATACCATTTTCATGCCTATATATATTTTCTACAATGAGCCATCACAACAAAAGACTCTCACTCTACTTGAATGAATCCCACAAAGGAGAAGGCGATAACTTGCACCTGGTTTCATGACATGAGTAACTCTTCCATTTTATAGCAATTGATTTATTAAACTGAAGTGGAATGAGCAGGGACAAAGAAGCAACTCCATGAATATAAAACGCTTACACTAAGAGCCTCTTAAAAAGCTGGATAACCACTAAGGTTTTTTGAAGATAATAATTAAAAAATAGAGGAAGGTTGCACTTTATTTCCTAACCAGTTTCTGAAAAAAAATAAAATCAAGTGAAACTCCACACCTGTTCACAACTCAAACCTCCTTCACACATAAAAATCTGGTCATGATTCCAGTTATTTCAAACACAATCACTACAAAGTGTCAGAAATATAAGAAAACTTCTTGAAAACATTCAAGTAGACTAAAAGCTCACACCCCATAGTTCATCTTTTGTTTTTTCTAAAACGACTCACCAGTCTTGTTCCACAACTCTCTCTGGTATTTCACTGGTTCATTTCTACGCTTTTCAAACTCAAACGAATTATCCTATATTCAGAAAAAGTAAATATAGATTATATACAGAAGCATATTTAGATCAATACATTCTTACTATAGCACTCACATCTTAATATTTTACACAATTTTTTCCCCCTTGCAGAATCTCAGTTCCTATACTTTAACAACATTTAGAGAGTACTAAGCTAGAAGGAAACAGAGTGGAGTGTTTGACCTCAAAGTGTCAGAAACCACAGTGATTTGTCTGAAGAGAATTATTTACTGAAACATCTCCCTTGGCTATTTTCATTTTAGCAAGACAAAAGGAGCAAAGACGACCAATGTGGAGTAGGAAATACAGAGTCGAGTAGACAGGTAGAAGGCAAAATTGAAAACATGTAGAGTCAAAAGCATTTAATGCAGGTCAAATAAGTTCTACCCAAAGCCTGTAATTTTGAAAAGGTTCAAAAAAGAAACACTATTTCATTTTAAGAATATTGAAACAATATAAAACCATTCAAAATTGTGAAATACTTCAATTGATGTCATGGGATGTTTGGGGCAGTGGGAGGTTTTTCTTTTTGTGGTTTTTTTTTTTCCGCAAGAGTTTAAGATAGAAAAACAGTTCCCTGATTTTTTTTTTTTTTTTTTTTTGCTACGCATATTTAGCTTTATATCAACTTTTATCTGAGGACTTTTCCTTGCCCACAGATTCTTTTTTGTAGTGGTAAAGCCGAGTTATCGGACCAGCTGGTAATTTTCACATGAGCTAACGACAGCTTCAATGACAGCAATTGCACAGAACAGCAAGAAAAGGTACATACACACTTATAAGCCACGCTCCATTAGCACATAAATGTTAGTTTTCACACTGAGATAGCATCAAGCAAAATATCCAAAATATAAGCTGTAGAGCACACCGTATGCTAACATTTACATGTCATTCTTATTCTTAAAAACAAAAAATTACCTAAAATTCTTTTTTACCTAAATGTGACACAGCACCATATAAATTCACTACAGTTTATCCTAAACTGAGTCAGCTTTTACCCATTTAAAATATACAGCATTGGTTTTTATCATGAAAACATACCACAAACAGCAAAAAGAAGTCTTATAAGAGTACAAATGTTCAAAGCACCAGGCTCTTCTAACCTACACACATGGAGATAAACCAGAGCTGCCTCATACTGGCCATCAGAACTTTTCAATTCCAAACATGAGGGGACAGAATGACTGACTCCTCAGCCATTCTGAGTGAAAGAGTAAGAAAGCCCTTCAGAAAATAATTGAAAACCAGCAAAACAAGTAAATATATTTAACCTCTATCCAATGTACCTGTTTAAAGCAGAAAGAACTATCACCTGCTTACAAACTACAGTATTTCCCATTGTTACAAGTCTACTTAGACGCTCTCCTCAAAGCTGGCTTATGTAAGAATAGGTACCAACCAAACTACAACAAAGCACAATGTTTATATATTGTTTTAATTCTTAGCATACATGGATATATCTCAAAATTGGAGCATGTATGAAGGAATTTTAATTTAAGACCTCCGCTACTTTCAAAAAGGTCATTCAGCTTAGCCAGGAAGAACTTGAAAGCAAGAAATACAATTATAGAAGATGGCAATGGCTTCTCAAAGTCACATTAAAAAATAAAATTACATTCTTCTCCATGGAAGATGCACAGAAAGCAGCAAATCACCATGACAAAATACTTCCTAAATTGTTAGTATTCTGTCAAAAAACATGTAGTTAAGTCACAGTAATTCTTAAATTATTTAAGGACTGTCCCACCAAACATGAACATTCAGTAATTTTACCACTGAAGTAACTTTGTCTTGAAATTGTTTTGAACTATTTTAAGATCTCATATGCTGTTTTTGAAACATTCTTATCTATGCAAGGACTTTTCTTATATACTGTATGCTTTAAGGAGACTTCAAAGGGTTAACTATCTTATGTGTCTACATAGAGACTTCTTGGGGTACCCAGTAACCCAGATTACCTGACTGTGCAGAAAGACAGAGAGTAAGAGATTTATAGATAGGAAAAAAATGCCTTGGACTTGGAAACCGCTAAGTCCAACCTGCTACACCGGCTTCCACACTGCAGCTGAAATAGGACGTTCCAAGTTACAATCAAGCTAAATGAATAGCCACTCTCAAGAAAACTCTCACATCCTCTTTCGCATTCCCTTTTTTTCTCCACTTATGTACTCCATCCCTCATGCTCATCTAATTAAATGATAACGCATTAAGGTAGCTAACCTAACCTGTTTGCAACTGGAAGAGACTAGATTTTCGCCATTTTAGTGAGCTAATGTAAAGTGTGAACCAGTTCAACTTCTTACCACTGTCAATTCTTTGCCAGCTGCTTTCCGGAATGCTTTGGTCCACCTCATCTTTCTGGGATTTCGTTTCTTTTTGAAGTTTCTGTGGCATTTTGATTTGCAGAACCTAAATATCTTAAAGAAGAAGGGAGGGGAGGGAAATAAACTTACAGTCAGATCACATCATTCCTGCCCTATTGCAAGCATGATATCAAACACTGAAGTTTCTCTAATAATACATTGAAAATTACATTGATCTTTCAAATTTCAGTATTTTTAGCTCAAATATAGCTATTAACACACAGAATTTCAAGTACTATTCTTGTTTTTTCATTATAAAATAACTTTCACAGCTGTCAGGAACATGCACAAATGCTTATAATTAAGCTGATTATAAATAAAATATACCGAAGCTGTGAGAATTATCATCTGCAAAAATATCTATAAAACTAAACCTGTACTGTGAATAAACAATTCTCTATACTTGTCAGCACTTTTTAGATACAGTGCCATCCTGACAACAACAAAAAATCCTCACACCTCTCATATAACATTTTTCAATGCAATACACACACACACAAAAAGTCTATCTTCTGGAATGTAGCTTTAAGCATTAAAGATTACCTTGCAACTGGAGTCCTAAGCACATTAGTTAAGTCCTGGACTGAATTTACTGAAAGCTGTTAAAGCATATACCAAAACATCCTAACTGACCTTTTCCCCCCTACCCTTCAATTTTTCTACATATTCTACAGAACACTAGACCCATTTTAGGCACCTGCCACTGCCAGCTGTGGAAGCACCTTATGTTCATCCAGGTGATGCTTTCAGGCCCATTAAAGATGCATGAAAGAAACATCACTATCCATGCTTGAAGTTTCCCTTTCATTAGTATTGAAATCACGTAACACAGCCAAGCTAAAGAACAACCCCCTATCCCAAACTGCCCCAAATCCAACAGACATTTTCCAGTCCAAGAGTATGCTGCAAGATGGCAGTAAGACGGGGGGATGAAGGACAACACATAATCGTATCCCTGTTTACGGTTCTTAATCCACCCTAAATTTTTGCATCACTTTGAATTATCCTGGCTGTCTAGTATCCAGAGCAGAGCTGGAACCTTCCTTGAGAAAAATCAAAATTACACTTGTTATTCATAAGTTTTTGAAAACCCAGTTTTTCTTCAACTGCACTCTCCTTCCCATCTAGTAACCACTTCTAAAGAAAATTAACAGAAAATATGAAACTTCTAGTAATCATCTTCAAACAATATTTTTTTTAACATTCTTCTGTCAAGTTTTCACCCTAACTCAGACAAATCTCTGTTCTCAACTAACCTGCTATTATGCTACTTTATTATTTAATTATTTTTTTTTTAAACACAAGACACCTTGTGGCCATTTTCTAGTAAACAGAACTGTGACAATCTACATCTACCTCTGAATTCCCAAAAGATGTGACTTGGATGAGCAATACAGTTGAGCCAGTACTTATTTTGACATCTGAGCACAGGAAGGAAGCTATTAGTGTAAGCTTCGTTTCACACTGGGGTCTCCAATGCCCTATAGGACTGCTAAGGAGTACCACAGAGGCTGGGAAACTGTACACAACATTTTATGTACGAAACTGTCACCATAATGCAAAGCCCAAAGCGCTATGCATGTCCTGTTATGACAGCCTCAATTGGGCAAGTCACATCAGATATCTGAGGGAGTTACAACTTTTAGTAGAGTACCATGAGACAGACATAACGCATTAGCTTTAGTACACAGCTTTTAGTGTCTGTGATCTGGATTGTCGAAAGCTTTAGAATCACCTGCCTTTACTCTGAAGCCTCTACCTCTCTAAAATCAGAAAATTAAAGGATGGAAGTTTTGAATTGCCCTGAGAACCATATAATTTCCCAGGAAAAGCAAGTAATTCAGCCCACGCTCTTCCCGACAGCCACAGCAGTTGCCACATTACAGCCTGGCCCCACCAAAGGGCCGTGGGCTCCGGCAGGGCGAGGGAAACGCTGCCTGCCGCCGCCCTCTTGTCCGAATTTGAGGTACGTCACCCCAAGAACCCCCACATGCCGAGGGGGGAGCTTGGCAGGAGCGCAGGCGGCGGCACCCCGGCCCGGGACAGCGGCACCAGCCCCGGGGAGACCTCGGGCCCCGGCAGCGCCTGTCAGCGGACACCTCTGGGCCCCCTCCGGCGCAGGCCCGGCGAGGCCAAGAGCGCCCGGCCGCGATAGGGAGCGGGTCCCGGCGGGGACAGCGGCCCGGCCGGGCCGTCCCGGCGGCGGTGGGTCGGTACCTTGCAGTCGTTGCGCACGAACATGACGCCGTGTCCCGGGTAGATAGGCCCCGAGCAGAAGTAGCACTTCTCAATCCGCATGGCTGGGCCCCGCCGCGCCGCCGGAAGGACGCGATCAGCTGACCGGAAGCCGGGCGGTGCCGCCCTGCAAAGGAGGCGCGGCGCCCCCTGCCGGCCGCCAGGCGCCGCGGGAGCGGGCGCGGGCGCATGCGCACAGGTTGTCCGGGCGGCCCGGGCCCGCAGCGCGGGGGAGGCGGTGAGGGGGGAAGGCGGGTTGGTTTGCGGTGTCGCCGCCGCCGTTACGGCAGCCGGGCTGTTTGACAAACTGCAACTGCCCCGACACAGGCACCGGGCTGGAAACAAGCCGGCTCCGGGTTCCCATCCCGCCGGACGGGAGTTACGGGGGGTGACAGCCGTAACCCTGGCCAGGACAAACGCAGGCCGCCTCCTCAGCAGGCCCGCGCGCGGCCCCGGCCCCGAGCCGCCAGGTCATCCCCATCATCGCCCTGCCAAGCCGGCAGCATGCCCGTGGTGGGACAGCCTGGGCTGCAGCCCCAGCAGCGCGGCCAGCAGGGCGAGGGAGGGGAGTCCCCTCTGCTCCGGTAGAGCAGAGAAGATGGAGACACCCCCCGCCCCTTCCAGTACCTCAAGGGGGCTACAGGAAAGATGGGGAGGGACTTTTTAGCAGGGCCTGTTGTGACAGGACAAGGGGTAATGGCTTTAGACTAGAAGGGGGAGATTTAGACTAGATACAAGGAATAAATTCTTTACAATGTGAGTGGTGAAACACTGGTGCGGGTTTTCCAGAGAGGTGATCCCCATCCCTGGAAGCATTCAAGGTCAGGTTGGACGGGGCTCTGAGCAACCTGATCTAGCTGAAGATGTCCCTGCTCATTGCAATGTCCCTTCCCATACAAACTATGCTATGATTCTAAAACTTACTCTGGCAATGGGCATTTGGCAACAGGGCAGGAGAGCTGGCAGCCAGGCCAACCCCAGGTCCCCAAGCAGCTGGTGTAGCACCAAGAGGTGCAACATGGCAGCACAATACCTCTTCACAAGCTGCTCACTGGAAAATGGGACTTCCAATTGTATCAGGGGCTGTGGAAGCCTCTCCTCACCCCCACGATGAACAGCCTCGCAACATGACAGCAGTAATGCTCCTCTGCCACACGCTACTGGCCTCTGAGCAACCCACCCTGCAAAGAAACCAGCAGCCCCAAATAAAGCAATACCCCCAGGAGTCCTGTAAGTAGGATCACATAAAGCCTACGTGAAAAACAAAGAGCTTTTCCTGACCGTGGTTGAGGAGACCAGACACAGCCTCTGTTTCTGATGCTGTCTCTGCCGCAATATTCTAAGGAACCTATTACTCCTGCCGTTCCCCCTCCTACAGTTACCTGTCAATTGTGAAAGGACCTGAACAGTAGGCTCTGTACCTTCCTAAATTGTTTGGCATTGGAGAAGGTTTTATCTCTGTTCTTCAATCTTAGTATGCCTTTCCACCTCAGAGTCTGAAATCTTCCTCACCATGTAAGACTTTACCACTACAATTCCTGCTCCTCCATTTAAAAGAAGTTAACTATCTGGGAATTTGGTGAAAAATCTGCATGTTGAATGGCATGTCCCTTTAGGGCAGTTTTTGCTTTCAGATTTCTAGAAGAACAAAAAATGCAGTCAACTTGTGCTATCTTAAGGAAGATGGAAGGAAGAAAAAAATTTCTTTAGTACAGTAGAGTCAGTAACCTTATCAGCACAGAACTTGTCTCCAATCTTTTTGAAAATCAGACCCCAGCCACATCCTATTGCAGGAGACACAGGCTAGAGCATATGACTGGCAACTAGTACTCACCCCCAGCCCCAAGGAAGAAGAGCTCCAAACTGGCAGAAAGACAGAGCGCAAGATAACACTGCACAGGATATTAGTTAGCCTCATGCCGCACGCCGGAGGGAAGGCTCTGTGGCTGTGACAGAAGACAGCAACCCAGCTGATAAGAGGAAACAGTAGATACACACACAAAGCAATTTTATGAGGGAAGCTATGAAGACACCAAGTTTACAGCTAGAGGCAAAAACAAATAGTAAACAAGTTTGCTTAGGTCTAGGGCTGCTGTGCTTTGGCATATGCAATTGCAATCCTTCTTTTCCAGTTTGATCACTTTGAGTTTCCTGCTCATGTGACTTTATTTCCCTCCTGGGCTGTATTTATTTCACTGCTTTCTCCTGGCAGAGTACTATATTGTGAAGCCTTTGGTGGCTTCTACAATTTAAACACTGTGGATTACAGACTGTCACCAACGCCTCCAGCAGACAGATGGGACGTGAGAGTACAGTGATAAAACAAGCATTTACAACTGGATTTTTTCCCCCCCCTTTTTTCATATCAAGGTGCTAATCTCCTCTTCAAATAAAAGCCATTATGTTGTGTATTTGAAGTGCTTATTCCTGATCTATAAGGCAAAATAGATTGGAGGTGGCTAGACCCAGAATCCAGATTAATAATCAAAAAAGAGTATGTACTTATACTCCATTAACAGTTATTCATAGACAGAATTAGGTATCCAGTTGAATTTTTTTGCACTGTCTAGTTAGAATTTTCTATACAACAGCTTTTCTCTGTTGCCTCTTCCCTATCCCTGTGCACTCTGAGAAGGGTCTGGCTCCATCTTCTGTATGCTCTCCCATGAGATAGTTCAAGAGAGCAGAAAGGTCTCCCTTAGCTTTCTCAGAGCAAAGCAAACCCAGTGCTCTCCTCCTACCCCTTGTGCTCCAGCCCCCTGATCTTGGTGGCATCTGCTGGACTCACTCCAGCGTGTCAATGTCTATCTTCTACTGTGGTGTCCAAAACAGGACACAGAACTCCAGAGGTGGTCTTATAATTACTGAATATAAGGGAAGACTTACTTTCTCAACCTGCTTGCTTCATTTTACTAATGCAGTCCCAGATGCAGTTGGCCACCTTTGCCACAGGAGTACCCTTCTGGCTCCTGGTCAATCTATTTTTGAACAGAATGTCCATGCCCTCTTCTGCAAAACTTTTTTTTCAGCCAGTACTAGTGCATGGGGTTATTCCAACACAGATAGAATACCCAATCACACTTAACCTTGTTAAACTTAATGAAGTTTAGTTCATCTCATTTATCTTGCCTATCAAGGAATGTCTGAAAAGTAGCTGTGCCTTCCAGCATATCATAACCTACCTGGCAATCTACAGCACTCTTGATGGAAGCAGCTACTCTGAAAAATCGGGCTCCTTACCTTTGTAGAAGCAGTATATTTTACAAAATGTGTTGCTTTATTCCCTTTGCTCTGAACATGCTCACATTAGCAGCTTTCTGAATGTGTCATGAATACAGTAGTGTTGCCTCTATTTTCTTCTATGGGTCTGAGCTCCTTCTGGCATCACTCAGGACACATCAGCCCTGCATCCGACTGGTTTGGTCAGTGCCAGAGGGTAACATCAAGAAGTACCTAAGCCATAGAAGAGAACTTAGATACATTTGAACCAAAAAAACCATAACAGATAGGGACAGCGCAGACGGACACAAACCGATAGTGAAATGAAACAACAAGAAATGTTGCAATTCAGTTCAACAAACGCTGACAAGGTTCAGATCAGGAATGTTTAACTATTTTATAGTAAGAAATCCTGGGACAAAGCATCGTAGTGGAAATCCTTTCCAAAACTTTGTTCCATTACAGATCAACATCTTCAAATGACACTGAATGAAAACAACTTTTCTTGAAATAACAGTTTCTCATCACATGAGAATTCTTCTTTGGTTGGTTTTTAAAACCAGTGCTAGACTAGCAAGAATAGTGTAATTCACTGTTGAAACATTTACCATGATTTCTCATGAGGGCTAAAAAGGGACTAAAGTTTTGTCACAGAATAATTCAAACAGATAAATCTTATGGCACATTTCAAAGGCCGACGCCAAAGCAATTTTATGTAGACTCTCTTTATACAGTAAATTGTTACATATAATATGCATGACAAAAATATGCCAGCTTCAGTATTTAATATCCAATCTAAACATAAGTATTCATAAAAAAGTAGTTTTACACCATTTCAGTAGTCACTTAGCTCAGTAGTTGGTCGCAATAATCCTTACTGTTTTCAAGAACTGGATGGAGCTACAAGCACAAAAACTCACTTGAAAGTTAATGCATGACAAAGTTCCACTGCAACCCTCTGAAAAGCAAAGAGTTACATTAAAAGAAATTCAGACACTGAAGTACATTGAAATGTATTGTGTCCTACAGTAGAGTTTGATACTCTGCTGGTCAGAAACATGATGGTAACTTCAAAAGGCACTCTGACTTAAACCACAGTAACTCTGGTCCACAAGCGTTTTAGAATCTTGGTATTGTGTAGTAGAAAAAAACCCCCTATGTTCATTCAATATAAATTGATTTAATCTCTGTCCTAGTCCCAGAGCAGTCAAATTATATTGCACTTTTAAAATATTCCGTGTAGGCTGTGATAAAAATCTAATATTTACATGTTGTGTTTGTTAAAGAACTATGCATTACTTTGTAAAATATTTTAAGAATCAAGTTTTAACACTTATTATTGTATTATTAATATAGCCAGAGGCTACATCAATTATTCTTTTTTTACTAGCCCCTATTCTAGAAACATTTTTGGTCCTTTAAAATAATGTCTTATGCTGCAATTCATGTTCACAACTGATATCAATGTTTGCCTGAAACTGCAGTACTTAGAATATTTAAATAAATAAATACATTTCTAAAGAAGCAATAGCTTTGGAGTTTTGTAAACAAACTGCTGTGGAAAGTCTGTAACAAGACTCAATTTGGCATGTTATGACTTTAATTGGCAATACTTTACAGTTATACAACTTCTGCCAGGCTAGAAAACAGTTTGGTAGGCACATCTCATATATCAGTCTGGAAAAAAGGCCCCAAAAATACTGTTTGTTCCTTAGGTTGTATGAATAAATAAAAATGATCAAAGAGTAACATGATCCATTGAAACCAAAACTGACATTTATGCGATCTGTGGGGGGACAAAAGAAAAGCAATTCAATATTCTTTTTAAAATACAACCTAAAGGAAATGAACAAGCCATAAATGAATATATGACAACCAAGATGTACAGGACACAAAGGCTGGCAGAATAAAATTAGCATTATAAATTTATAGAAATACTGATCTAAATAGAACTGGTATCTTAACTGCTTCTCACCAGAAAACAATCATCATTCATTTTTCAATCCAAATTTGAAGAAACCTTCCAAATCTGTTTTGGTAAAAAAAATTCAGTGCCAAGCACTTGATCCGATTAAATTTTGCTGACATTTAGGTTGCTCTACATTCTTGTTAAAACATGAGTGGTAACATAAAAGGAACATAACAACAGATGTACAGTTATGCCCTTTACATATAAATATAAGTATATGCATGGTCTAGAAATTCCAGTGATGTCAGGAGGTCTCACAGGCTGTGTTGGATATATTTTATATAGTACAGTTGTAGTTTACATGTTCAATTTTATGACATACCCAAAGTGTTCTACATATGCTCTCTTCTCTCTAGATTTTATTCAATATAGAATAGCTTGCTTTCGGTTTTCATCAGTAAAAACTGATGGTTTGAGAGAGCAAGGAACAGCTGTTTGCAGGCTTTTGTGGAAAACAAGGGATTTGCTCTTTAAGATTGTTATTGATTGATGAAATGATTAAATATCTCTGTTCAAAACCAAGAACCATGTTGGTAAACTTGCTGTTAGTAGAGTGTAAGAGCTGTCACAATATCTAATATAAATGCCTAGTCTGTGTAGTTAATGGAGCCTTCAAAGGGCAATTGAAAATCCTTCAATACAGAAGCCTACAATTTCTCATTGCCCACACAGAGATATTTCTAAATTTGGTAATGAAAATTCTTCTCCTTCCCTCCAAAGTAGAGAATTAGAGGAATATCTAGTGCTACACCAAATTAAACCTTTGTCCCATCACTAATAAACTGCACACCTTGCAAGCAAAGGTCAATGTTGAGAGGGAAAAATAAAAAATTAGTATCAAGAATTAATATAGCTCATTAAATAACTACACAATGTGATCTGTCCATAAGTTAAACAGTTAAGCTGCAACTGTACTATACTTTAGCATATACATTAAAATAAATTGTAACTGAGTTAACAGCTGCATTTGCCTTTTTCTTGCTCCTCATTCAGTTGTTCTGTAGAGCTGTGCCCATTGGAGCGCACTACCCCTTCTGGGATCCAGGATTTATCCACACACCGTTCCATGCGCTTCATAATGAGGTCAAGCAGGGTTTCAATGGCTTTGCTTACATTATTCCCATTAGCTGCACTGGTTTCAAAATATGGTATTCTGCAGAAGACAAAACCCACAAACTTACATCACACAGTTTATATTCATAGGAGAAAAAACAATACATGACTACTGCCACATACTTAGCAATCACACAAACGCTGTTACTGCTACTCCACAGCAGAAAGACACTAAGTGGTCAGCGGTCTGAAATGCAAATGAAATTAATGAAATGGCTGACTGAAGGTAGGGCAGAAGAATAAGCTTTAATTTACATTGTGGAGTCCAAAATTTATAGAGGCAGTGGCCAGTATGAGTTCCCAAATTTATGCTCCTGAGATCTGGTTTTTTCAGCTCCGTTCCCCACAAGAGATGCGACTGCTTAATACGGCCCTAGTGTCCAGAAGAATATGGCATAGTTTCTCCTTGCTGATTTCTATCCACATCACCTAGGGAGTCACTGCAAAAGACAGAATGCTAGCATGGACCTTCCCCTGCAAGCAAGGCAGTAAAGACTCCTAATGTGTCTTATCATTACAAAAGGTGACTGTTTCTTCTGTTGACACCTCAACTATGAGCTCTGTTACATATTTAAAAAAAAAAAACAACCCCAAAAAAACGAAAAACAAACCTCAGTGCTCAGACCACCTATGTCTCTGTTAACAAAAATTTCTGGACACCTTGGTATTGAAAATACAAAGCAAGTTTTCATTATGTTTGTGGGTCGGGATGTTTCAGTGGTACGTCTGCAGCATTTGACCTGTGCTCAGTGCTCCCCACAGGGTGGTGCTGGAGTGGCTACATTGGTGTAACTCCCCAAGTGACTGATACAATCACTTAATAATGTTAAGTATTTCTTACTTAACTTGCAAGATTCAAAGAGTGGTCAAAAAATATTATCTTACTGTCTCAGTGTGTAGGTCTTCTGCGATCATTTTCAGAATACACCACTTACTAGCGTCAGGCCTTTCCACAGAAAGAGGATATTCACGATCTCACACTTCAGTTATCAGAAGACTGTTGGCTGCAGCAGGATTTATCTTGCTCCCCTCAGGAGTGACTGCTAGCAGCTGTCCTGTCTCATCTCTACAGGGCAGAGAACTTTGTAACCATGTACAGATTGGACATGATCTATAACTCTGACTTTTACCTCCCTATTCCTAAATTAAGTTGGCATTTTCAGCCACAAAGATAAACATTTCATAAATTATTTCCAGAAGTCACATGCAAAGACATCCCTTTCAAATCCTTAAGAAATGGTCACATGCCATCTGCTGCAGTTTAAAAGTTTTTGCTTCTTCACAAGGATCTGGTTAAAGTACCATAAACACTTACTGTTGTCTGTGTGGTATGGACTTCAAACAAGCATTTTCACAGGAGAAGAAAAAAGTAAGAAGGTAATATGGCACTAAACCCACTTGAGTCCAATAGACAGATTGCTTCTGACTTGCCTCCAATGATTCTTCAAGGTCAAAGAAAGCTAATTTGTGACTATGTGATACGAAATAGAATGGTAGAACAGGACCAGACCTGCAGAACAAGGCAGTTAGCACTGGGGACCTAGTGCTCACACTATGCAAGTTGTGTGGGCTTTACTTTGGACCAGCTCTAATCTATTTCTCTGTACTGAATGCAGATTACTGGTTGGAGCACATAATCTAATTTAGTTTTCAATTGAGAAGGGATCCTGTTCACATGCTAGAGAGCTGCTCCACTATAAGAATCAACCCACAATAAATAAATCCAATTATTTGCTTCAAAAGTGCACTTCTGATCCACACTGAAATGCAAATGTAGTCCAGAAATGAGACCCATGGAAGAGTTAAGGGGGTATAAGAGATACTACAGGATAAATTAGTATCTGATAGGAACAAAGATTTCACACAGTTCCTTTAGGGACACATGACCTGTGCCTGTAGGGAAGGAGAAGGTCTGACTTGATTTTCAGACTCCCCAGGAGTCTGTGAGAAAGCAGAGCCTGCAAGAAAACATGGCTGACCCCTTTGAGACTAAATCACTACAAATTCACCTTAGGTGAATTCACCTAGGGTGAAGTACCAACAAAATTGCTTGAACAGCTGAGGGAAGATTCAATGGGGAGGGGGCAGAGAACTGGGAAACTGTAGTCTAGACCAGAACTGCTCTTTTGTGGGAACCCAGCACTCTGCAAGCAGACTCCCCCAATGCTGGCGAATGAGTTCCAAAGCTCTCAAAGAAACTGCGGCCACATATTTCCATGGCCACGCCAGAGACAATGGCTACCCTACAACAAACTTCAGTGAAACAACTCAGCTTGTAAACTAGGATATCATTGCTTGGTATTGTTTTTGTTTTCCCTAGAATCTGAGGTGAACACTCCTCACCTCACCAAATGCTCTTTTGGATTTCACTCTGTAAGAGACCTGGCTTTCCTGTGCCCCGTTGAAAGCCTCATCACAGGCAAGAGCAAAGAATTAGACCCCCATCATTCACCTGCCTCTCCAGCGAAATTCTCTCTCTTTTCCAGAAAGTTTACTTTGTTTACTGGAAAGGAAAGAAGATTAACCATTCTCCAGTGCAAGATTATTGCAATACTAAGTATGAATTTTTAGGCAATGCAGAAAACATTAATCTCTGACAGAAAAAAAAGATATCATACCAGCCAGTTAAGCATTCTAAAATGCTTATTCTCACAGTAACCTTTCAGTATACAGAAAAGGCATTACAGAAAACATTTCATTCGGGTTTAAACACAGCAATAACTGGAAGGAAGTTACTTACCCATATTTTTCTGCAAGTTCCTTAGCTTCTTCTTCTTTCACCACCCTTTGGTCTTCCAGGTCACTCTTGTTTCCACATAATACAATGTCAGGGTTTTCACAATATGCATGCATTTGTAGCTGACCTAACAGCAACAACAGGAATAGGGGTCACAACTTACTGTTACACATAAAGCTCACTAAGAACACCATCACATTTCAGGGGACACAAAGTCCTTCAGGAAAATGACTCTTTGAAAAACAGAAAACAACCGTGTTCTCTGTTATCTCACAGGACTTCTGCTATTGCACTGAGGAGCCAGAGAACAGGTGGATATCCACTACCACATATCCAGTGAAAAAGGCAGGGAACAAGTCACGGGAGCAGAAGTTAAAAAGTTAGCACGGAAGCTGTATATTTGTAGTGTAAGGAGTTAAAGCTCACCAAGCATCTTCAGTGAGCTGCCAGGAAAGGATATACTTCCCTCTCCTGATGAATGATGTAGTTTGGGAACTCCTTTCCCTAGATACACCAGTATAGTAACATTTGACTTTCATTAAGTTTTGCTGACAAAGCTTCAGGTGAGTCAAAATAGAGTTTTGCATAGGCCTTTCACACACTGAAATTACTGAATATGTCCAGAGCCAGGTTTATAGTGTTCTCTCAGCCTGCTTTTATGTAGGTCAAAATTCAAGTTCAGTGGGCAAAGCTGAATTTCAGGTAAGTACTAGAAGCCACCACTAGCAGCTATTACAATTATGAATAAAAAAATTATTTTCTTTTACTGAAAAAGCTATAAAAAGAGTATTTTCAGTTCTATTTCTCAGTGAGACTCCATATTTACAAACACAGCCCCCTCCCTGCCCATGCGGAGAAAGAAAGAAAGAAAAAAAATAAAGAAATGCCATACTTATCCAGTTCCTGACATTGAGAAAGCTCTGCTCGTTTGTCAGATCAAAGAGCAGAAGAAACCCCATGGCATCTCTGAAGAAAGCCGTTGTCAAGCTACGGAACCTAGACCAGCAAAGTTAAATTAGTTGGCTCATCTGACAAGTCACTTTGAAAATATAATTGCACAGTGTCATGAAACTGAGGTAACTTAAGACTGAATTAACTAGAATGAAATGTTCATCATAACTGGTTTGCTGATGTAGGGATTGCATAACATTACTATGGTCTAATCAAGGCCTAAGGGAGTCAAGGAGACATTTCACTCAAGTGTGACAGCTTTACACTAAGTCTTCTACTATAAAGCATGACTTGATCAAGATTCAGAAATTAAAATAAGAATGAAATTCAGACTTTGAACCCTATACATATCAGATCTTGATTTTAAGACTACCAACCACTAGGATGCTAGTCTTTTGACAGACAAATAGAAAAGGATCCTTTGAGGTGATTCCACCTGTCTGACTTTCCCAAGGCCTCGACATATTTACAGAAATTTAAGGAAAACTGAAAAAATAAAAAGCTTTAAAAGCATCTATATTTATTGGCCATAAAAAAATGAACCAAAAGTTTCCAAAAGACAAAAAGCAACAATTACAGTTTTAATGTTCTACAGTTGTAGGTTACAGTTGCAATTTAATGGGTATTCATAGGAAACTTTCCATCACTGTTAAAATTAAAGTGTTCTTTCCCATCTTGAGTCATACAATCAAAATGTAATAATCAATAAAGAGAATTCATGTACTCAGTTCCACTGACATCTAGCTTGATGACAACTGCCTTACTTGCTAGTTGGCAGGTGGAACATACCTTTCCTGCCCTGCAGTATCCCAGAGCTGAAGATGTATCCTCTGTCCTCTGCCACCAACACCATCTGGCCCATTGGGTCTATACACCTGTAGAAGGTAAATTTGCAAGACTGAGTGTCAGCAGTCCAGCCTCTACAGAACACAAAAATAACTAACATTTAAAGTCATTAAATGCAGCAAATCTGCAAAGATTCCAACTACAACTCAATCTCTCTGCTTTATAAGACATCCAAATGGATATTTAAAAAGCAGGGTAAAAGTGAAACTGGAAAAGACATATCCAATAGACTATGGACTCCAAACAGATATTTAGAGTGGCCATTAAGTTTCATTAGACAAGCTTAATTTTAGTATTTTGATTTTCTTTTTTTTTTTGCTATTATCTTGCAACATGTTCAAATTAAAATATAAGAAAGCAACAACTGGATCATACAATCTGGCAACGTATTTGTACTACTAACAACCTCATTAGCAAACATGCATCAACATAAAGATAATGACATCTCTTCTTAGCTGCCAAAAGATTGCTGGAAGAGACCTTATCATATCATAGCTTAAAAAGCAGAAATTGAATGATAATAACAAAAGCCGAAAAGTTTACTCAGCATGAAAACAGAAATAAGGGCATCTGTTAGCTTTGGAAGTATCAGATGAAAAGATTCATTTCTTGTTCAGAACACTTCATGTTAGGTTGTCTTCTTTACCTTCAGCTGTCATTGTCCCTAAGATTACCGGTTACAAACATATCTTAAGAGACACATAAACTTGCTGAATTTATGGATTATATGATTCAGGTTATGAAACCTAAATCTTATCCTGAGTTACAAATGTGCTGATCAAGTAAACCCACCATGTTCACTATCCCACAAAAGGAATACGAAACTGTTGAGTAAGTTAGTGTTTCACTAAGGTATTTAGTCCTTGCACCACTGTGATGCATGTCATCCATCCAAAGCCAGTCTGCACAATGCCCATGATACCATCCAGATTTCTGGACACTTGGGAAATCATCAGACTACGTAATACTTCTACACAAGAATGAGAAAAATTTGTGCCAACTCAATTTCTCAGTGCAGTAAGGACCAGCATCCAATTGGTTATATTAATGCTGTGCTCAGCTTCACATCAAAAGTGTGTTTGCCTAGTTTAGTAACAATTCAGAAGTTAAAAACCCCAAATAAATAAACCTCATTTTTCACAATTCTTGTCTAGTAGTGGTAACTGCTTAGGAAGCCAGATCAGCTCTATGCATCATGCTATCCTACTTCATTCACATGTTTTTAAAAGATTTTTAAATCAACCTTACAGGCTTTGTTCACTAGTCATTCTTGTTCACAAACAGCAAAACCACTTTTACTACAGCCCAGTCTTTTCCTTGTGGAAAGGAGTTCAACAATAAAAGTGCTACTCCAGGTACTATATGCACAACTCACGGAGTAGATACACGCATCAACACTTGCTGAGCAGTGAGAGGTGTTTGTTTAGAATCAGCTCTAACTTTGGGGGAAATGGGGAGGGACAACACACAAGAACAACTAAAATAACCAAGTAAAATGAGACCATTTCCTTGTCACAAGATTAAGTACACAATAACTATTGGTTGCATGCCTCCACATAAGAATCGGCAGTTCAGATTTTTAAAAAATAGGTTCTAACCGTCACCAAGACAGGTACCCTTTTAAAGTAGCACACTGTGAAAACTCACCACTCTCTTTTCCCGAAAATCAATGCCCACCGTTGTGATAAATTTGGAATTAAATTTGCCATCCGTATACTGGTAAAGAAGGCTGGTCTTTCCTACTCCAGAATCACCAAGTGCTAGAAATTTTATGAGGTAATCATAGTCCCCATCAGACATAGTGAGAATTCAGGAGACACCTTCAAAAGCAAAGCAAAAAGGATTAGTCAGTCAACAATTCTGCCACGGCTTCTTTTCACAAATGTTTAAAATACAAATCACTACTTGAACTACAAAGCATCCAGCAATAGGACCAGTTCTGTACTTTTTTACAGTGGTTTCACCTTGAACTCTCTATGCCAATTATCAGTATCAAATTCAGCTGTGACTGAAAAAGTACATAGTTAATCTTATTACATTCCTCTCTAGAAAGAGAAGGCAACACAACTTCAACTTCTTCAGGAAAGACTGAAAATCAAGGTCAAAGTATTCAAGACATCTGAAACAAGAACTCCAAAACTGTTTTTGATCTGCATGGAAGTTGGCAAAAGCTACTTAAACATCCCAGGAATGCAATTCTGACCTCACATTCACTGTGATTCTACAGACATATGCAAAAAAGTATTTTTTTCCAGATGCCCACTGCCCACTGAATTTAAATAAAAATGACAATAATTTTCTATTAATAGCTACATCTCAGTCTTGAAAAAGTTTTTTCATACAAGGACGAAAAATTCAAGCAATATGTTGTTCTTTTTGTTGGAGTTTGTTTTGTTTAGAGAACCGATTTTCAAAGTTCTTCAAGTTTTCATCCTGATGCTAGTTAATCATTTGAACTAAATCTTGATCCTGAATTGTCATGAAACAACACACACGTACACATGGCCCCTTTTTATTCCTTTGACAAAATAACAACATTAAGTATAGTCTGATCGAAGTGCAGTTAACAGCTAAAATGTGTAACAAAAATCACTGGCAAATTTCACATATACTAGAAAAGACTGATGTAAGCACACTAGTACTTTCCTGTTGAGTAGCTACTGAGCCTCTCTTCCCCCAAAACAAACAGTAAAAAGCTGCCTTGTGTCATGTTCAAAGACAAGAACATGAAAAGATAAGCCTAAAATAACCATTCTAAAAGCAACATAAAACTGGCATTGAATTGCCTCTTATGAAGGAGGGAAATAGACACCAAAATACAAAACATAAAATAGATGATGAAATAAAATAAAATAAAATAAAATAGTAAAATCTGCTGTTTCAACTATAAACAAGCATTTTTGGAACTATCTGTAGCTTGAACTAGATAAAATTATTCAAGTCAACCACTGCAGTAGCTTGCATCAATGGCAAAACACCATTTCATTTCTTGTATATCAACTCACAGCTTGAGGTTTAGAACAAACTCCCTATCTGAAGTATGTGGGCGTCAATCATCACCATTAAGCTAAAACCATAACTATCTTTAAAGCTTCAACTTTATGTTAGCACTGCTCTCGGTTACAAGGCAGAACTGTGATTAGTCAACTTAGCCATGAGTGAACCTACCGCGATCAAATGCCGGCAAGGGTCAGATTTATACTCAGATACTCTTCAACTGAAGTCACTGGAAAGCATCTGACACTTTTTTGCTATTTCCAGTTTTGAAGTCTCCCTTTCCCCAGCCAAGGCATATTTTACATTATGCTCTCAATTACAGTAAAACTTTGCAGGAAAAGGGGGTTTAGGTGACTCACACACACTACTATGTCACAGCCAGCTAATTCACTTTCCACTGTTGTATTTTAATACAAAGTTTTGCAATAGAGTAAAAGATTGAAACAAAAAACCCCAAGTAATAGTTATCAGTGAGGTTTTTACATAAATATACCACAACTGCAAGCCTGCATCCACCACAGAGGTCTGAAGGAGCAGCATATTCAAGTGAGAAAGTTGAACAGGCAGTCACACACTGACATAAGAACATTTTTAGAAGAAATTAAGAGCCCTGATCCATTAGATACACACATACCAGCAAAAGGGGGTTTTAGGTTTTGTTTTTTAAAATATTCCCCTTGTTGGGGACAGAAAAATAAAAAGTAAAATCAGATTGCCTACCTTGTAGCTCTACAAAGTCTTTTCATTGAAATGCACTAGAAGAAAGGGAAAAATATTTTAAAAACCAAACAAGGAGGTTTTTACTAAAGAACTGGATTTGATTTTGACTTCCATCTCGTACATGGTATTTCTTTTGCCCTCAGACGATCTCCAAGGGCAAAGGACTGTATAAGCTCCCCCTCTACCCAAGTACATGTTCTTTCAACTTCAATCCCCTAAAATTAATTGTTGCTTAAAAAGGCTTACATGCAAATCGTAGAGCCACTGTATTATACATAGACAAGCCAGCTTTGTGTCTTTTCCTAAGCTATCCCACCTGTATTTGCCTTGTCTTGTTGGGATTTTGTTAGCTAGCTGTAGGTATACAGAATATACTTTTAATAACAGATACAAATAATAGTGCCACCTAATCACTGCTAATTACGTTGTAAGAAAGCTAATTTATCATGCACCCTCGTGCAAGACGTGATGAAGGAAGAAAGGGCACTATAGCTCTTACTTGGAGCTGTAAGAAAGTGTTAGGGTTCAGCTGCACCCTTCCACTGGACAGAGCTGGGGGAAAGCTGTGGTTAAAACAGAAAGGTCAAGGTTAGACCTTGGGGAAGTAAAACCTAAAGGTATTCCTATTGTCACATCTAATTCACAGAGTATCTGTTTGGACAAACACACCACATCATTCGGACCACTTAAACTCAATTCTCCATATGGCTGGTAGAAGCCTCTCTCAGCAAGGGCATAAAAACAATTTCTAAAGGCCTTCCTTGAGAAGGAAGTTTTCTCATTAGGCTTTTGAAATGCACACACCTCTCACTGCACCCTATAATGTCAATCTATTATTCAAATATCTCCAGGGAGTGGTTCTTGTGAAACCCTGCACAGTTAACCTATCCTTGGAGACATGCAAAGAGCTATTTTCATAGCAGTTTCTTGCCTTGTCCTCCTCCCTGTACAAATATTTAAAAAGAGATCTCCACCCTCTACTTCCCAAGACCTGCAGTCCTAATGCCCCGACACATCCAGCTCTGCACAACAGAAATAAGAATATATTCACAGCAAAGTATATTCACAGAAAAACTGCTGTGGAGTTTTTAAAAGTCATGGTCCTGTTACTAAAAACCCATCTCATTTTTTCCTTCCAATTTTGCCTTTTTTTAAAATTAGGCTTTATAGCTTCACATCTTCCAGACTTTCCTTCCACATTTCTATACCACGTATATCAGGAGAGGGGAAGGTAGAAAAGGAAGAATCAGAGAAAACTGATGATACAATCAGGATTCATCTGGTCACCAAAAGAAAAAAAACTAAATTTTAGAATTATTATTCTCAAATCTTGCTTCTACAAGTAAGATTTCAGCTGAAAAAATTCACTGATGGACACAGCTTTAGGCTCTACATCAAGCTCTCCAGGGTTTTGCCTTTTGTAAACCCCTCCCTAAACCCCACTCAGCTCTGGCTTTGCACTTCGCCTGGCATGCAGATGAACAAGTGCTGGGAAAACTCCACTGGCCTTTCCCATTGCTGTCAGGATCCCCACAGCCATCCCTTAAGCCATGCCTGTACAGCTGCTGCTCTGGAGCCTCCACACACTCACACATCCAGATCATGGCTTGCCAAGAAGGGATGCTCTGCAAAGCAAGTGCCGCTCTTGTTCAGTGGAATTCCTAGCACAAGTTACTTTCATGTTAACGGGTATCAATGTTAACAGGCCTGTATTTTTGCCTCCAGGACAGAAATATCACAACCCTATTGTCTGATAAAACATTCAAGACTATGGCAGTGTTGCTCCTGTATAAATTAAGGAAATTGGCTTGGCATGCAGGATTTCCCCTGTGCAGGATGGGGACAGGGAATATGCTTCCTGAACTGGCCTTGCACAAAACATGCAACTCCTGTGCTGCTACAAGGCTGATGGAGGGCAGAAGGAAAAAGGAAGAAGGCACAAAGAAATGAATAAACACAAGGGAAAAAAAAAAAAAAGCCAAACCACTGAGCTGCAAAAAACGTGTACACACACAGAGTATAAAATTCAGTAAATCTGAACATGCTCTAAATCAGACAGTCCTCAAGCACATCAATTTAAAGTAAAGTATACCACTTACCCCAACCTCTTCTAAAGGAACAGTTAGGGCACTGGAGATAGTACTTCCACTAGGAGTATTTTTCTAGCACCACCTATTTAGCACACAGCCAAGAGGCTTACGTGTCACCTGTTTGCATTCGTGTTGATGGGTGCTCAGAAATAAAGAGGTGTGCCTCATGTCTCCATGTCTACGGAGGGTGCTGTCTGACAGCATGGCTGGGAAGCAAGTACACAGTTCATGTGTGCCATTTATTCCTAGAGGCAAACAGCATTTCAGAAGAGATTTGTGCACAACCCACCTAGGAGCAGATCTAAAGTATCTGCTACATCACCCACACACCTTAATACAATGACATCGTTCCTAACAAGTGTTTTCATAGAAAAACGTGTCCATGATAGAGTATATGCTTTCTCTCTTGTACAGACGCATGGACACTGCATTGCCCCACGGGTACCACGGTGAAAGCTGCCTTCACCACAGATTTTCAAAGAAGAGAAAAATTATTCTTTGGCAAATACTGGAACAGAAGGTATTACATCTGACATGACTTCAGACCACACCTGCAAGACCACCCCATTTTCCAGAGAAGCAATACATATTTAGCAGAGGAAGCTTTTTAGGGGTGGAGGGGATGCTGCCCATACTACACCACCTAGCCAGCCCTCCCTAGAGCAAAAAAGCCACTATTCTGTATGGAACTACTCAAATAAAATGGTTTGACTCAATCCACTCTTCCCCCTCATACCAAGTGAAATAACTCTCTGTAAAACTTGACATCACCCCAGCATCCCAGATCTGCAATGTAGCCAGCCATGATGCCAGTGACTAACATGGTAGGATATACCGCTCAACTATAAAGAGACACAACACTTCAAACTTGCCAAAACGCAGGTATTAGACCAATAATTAATTCATATTTTAAGATATCATGGGATTTTATCACATTGACCTTTGGGGACAGAGAGCAACTACCCAACTCAAGGGTTACAGTTAACTTTTAACAGTGTTGACCTTCTGTAAGTATCACTCAGGTCTCAGGGAGATCTTACAAAGACAGAGGAGTTGTGTCTTGGCCTTCCCCTCTTTGCTCGAGAAAAACAGACCCCACTGGAACAGTGGGACATTCACTAGGCCATGTCCTAGAGATAGGAGCCAAACTGCAGTGAAGTCCCCCTGCAATGGAGATCCAGCCCCCAATGGACAGAGGGCGCGCAGTGAAGGGGTTGCATCCCTTGGCATCTATGACAGCAAGAGCAGTGTGCAATAGCAAAAAAGCTGGAGTCTACTTAACAAGGTTCCACTGCATTCATATATAATTGAGCCATATTTGTAAATACACTCTGAAAAATGCAATGCTATTTAGAGTTCAAAAATGCTTTGCAAATGAAGGTTTCCCCAAATATGGCTTTATTCTTAAAAAGCAGTTGAGGCTGCATGCTTATTATTAAAGAGTTGACGTGGCCATTGGTGAAAGAGGAGTCCAAATCCCACACAGACAGAAAACGAAGATACTACAGGTCTCTCGATGAACCACGTGTAAATACAAGTACATGGTAATAATACATTTGTACAGGTTTGATCATTTTTCAAATGCAAGTAAACTCATACTAAAAAAGCTTCTCACATGGGCACCACACAGACTTGAACAACTTCAAGAGCTGTTTCATACATGACACGATCTGAGTTTGATCTGGTACAGCAGAAGCACTGAGAAAGTGATCTGGACCTCAAAGGAATAAATTAGCTAATCCTGCCATACCAGCACTCCCATCACACTACAGCAAAGCAGTAACAACACTCTTGCTTAGCATGGGTGCAGCATAGCAAATGGCCTCACCCTGCTCTAAGGCTTCAGCAGCACCTTAATGCTTGCAGAACTGGTCACCACTGGACACTTGCCAGCTCTGTCGAAACAAGGGACAGAGAGTTAAACAATGTTCCTGCTTAGTCAACACTATTAGAAGTGCCTTTGGCTAAAAGCTGCCAGATATACACAAACGTAATATAAACAAATTATGGCAAGAATTTTTCATACCTCAAGTAACTGCTATGCTGGGGGAATAGAGTTAATAAATGAGCACTTTACTGAAATATTCTGAGCTACACTATTTTTTTCTTAGGAAAAGATATGACTTGGCTTGCATTAATTTTGGCCAAAATGACACTTTCTGCAACTTCTGGGACTTTTCTATAATATAACAAGAAGAAAAACATCCCTTCCTCTCACAAAAGAAAGGAAGAGATTCGGTTGCTCCAAGCATTTGTCTTTTGATTGCGCTCAATTGCTTTATACTTGACATTTTACTGTTATGACCTTTTTAGTTTCAACTATAGAGGAATTCTAAGGAATTGTAGGATCAACGTCTAAGGATTGTCTCTTTCTTGGAAGGATGTAAGTAATTTTAAGGGTGCTCAGGACACATATAGGAGTCTGCAAAAACACATGCAAAAAAAATAGTCTGTGAAGCTTTAGCTTCCAAATGCTGATGTTGCTTCTATCTCAGCTGAAGGTGCTCTAGGACACTTTGTCAGCTGTCAGCATTGTTAGAACCACAGAATTTGGCAAAGCAAGAAGAACTGACAGGCACACAAAGCACTCTGAGAATGAGTCATTATGGGAGATGCCAGGCATAAAAATCATGATCCTACCCAGAAAGGGATCACAAAAAGGGTAAGTGAAGCAACAGGTCTGCAAGTGTGGTGAGAACCTTGCACAACAGGCCAGGCAAGGAAACAGCAGATTCTGGATTTCATTTCTAGAAAACCAGGGTAAACTGGGAATGAAGAAGCCAGAAAAGGAAACAACAGTTAGTTTTGCAACTACATCTGCATTTCAGCATAACGAAACCAACAAAAAGGAGAATGAATTTCAAAGAATGGCTCAGTTACATAAAGGAATGAAAGGCAGCATGGAATTGGAAAAAAAAAAAGGAAAATAAAACCAGGAATGTTGCAGGTGATACTCCAACGTCACCCATGCGAAAGGATTTCTGTGCGGCTTCAACTTTTCTGCAAAAAGAACAGCACCATCTCTATTCCCTCATCAGTTTCTAAGTCTTTCATCCTTCATGGTAAGAAAATAATGTAGATAAATAAAGATCTGCAACGGTATCTGAACTCTCTCAGAGGACCTGTCCTCCTCCTGGGAATGAGAGCTTTTGCTTCCCAAGTTACCTCTCAAGCTCTTACCAGAAGTTGCTTTCAAGTTGTAGCAGTGAAGCAAATATCTGTACTATGTGAATAAACTCCAGATAGACTAGGAAAAATAAAGCAAAAATTTTTGTTTATTTACTTATTTATTTAAAACAGCTCCATACTACTTACTCCTTTCTCAACCATTCAACTGTTCCTCTAATACATTAAAGCCACAATGCCTTACGAGTTAATGTGCCATGCTTTTTCACTAACTTATGAACAGGAAATTCAGAGCTATGCCCAGCACCCTCTCATGATGTCACAATTCTGACAGCTTTGGGACCCAGCTCATAGCTTACCCACAGCCTAACCTTAACAATTGTAACACATCACTGAACCTCTTCTTGACAGTAACAAGGAATTATGAATGACAGTCTTACATAGATTGACACAGTTTCCAACTCTTTCAGTCAATGCAGGAGCCACCAGGATTTCACCCACAAAGCTGGTCATATTCACAGAAGGAGGGAAATATCCAGAAGTTTGCCCACCCACTCATTCAGCAACACTTCCAACTTCAGAAGGGCAAGGAAAAAGAGTACACTTCTATTTCTGCACTCAGAAATAGCCACTGAAAGATAAAGGAGAAGATAGTAAGACACACACAGGATCATAAGAATTGAGCATTTCTTTAAGGAATGGTTTGGTTTTCCTGAAGATAAAAATCTTCAGCAGACAGTAAGAATAACAGACACACGAAAAAGCAGAATAAAAGGAATAAGAAAAGGTTAAAAATCTAAAAATTGAAAAAGGAAGGAATTTTATATGCGCAGTTAGAATATAAATGAAGCAGTATTTCAGGGAAAACATGTGCAGGTATTATGCTTTATGCACATTAGTCAGGCCAAGTTCTTTGTTTAAGCCCATTAAAGCACACACTGTAAACAGCTAGAGGAAAATATCTGCAGCTTCTTTAAAAATATATTATTTTTTTTTTTCTCCTGCAGGGCCGGAAAGTTCTCAGCTGCCTTCCACCTTGTTTTGTAGGACAGATACCTGGAATCCGATAATGATTCTCCAAAAGGTCACACTGCCAAGCTTGTGAAGGGTACAAGATACATACTGCATTACAGGGAAATAATCTGGCAAAAATAAATAATCATGATTAGGTCAATTAAAAGTCTATGAAGAATGTCAAGCAACAGACAACCTGAATATGTTGCAAATGGGACTATAAAACTTCGTCGTTCATCCATTGATGTGGGCAAGCGCACAAAGGGGTGAGGCAAGAAAGAATTTCAGTGAAGAATTTAGTCCACCTTTTCATCCTTTGGATTGGGAAATATCTGCTTCTCTTGTTCTTCATAGGAGGTAAACCATGTTCCTTGCTAACTCTAGTTTTTGATTGGAAGATGCAACAAAAGTTCCTCCTTTTTTTTTTTTACAGCTACTCCCATTCTTTAGCATTATTGTTTCTCTAAAATATTGGAATTTGTCCTTATTTTTGGTGCAAGTTACTTGATTTAGTTCAACAAGAAATAACAGGGGGACACAGTATATATAGTATTTACTGCATTTTGTTCTGGCTATTTATGCCTCAGGAAGTTAAAAGTTTTCTCATTAATTAGATGACATTGCAACATCCAAAGATTTTGTAAGTCCATCAGAAGTTAGTCCATGTCCACAAGCCAAATGCAAGCAGTTAACTACACGGTACCATGGCCTTCTGGAGCAGGACTCGAGTCAGATCACACTTCCAGCCACCGGTGAAAACATACTGTTCCTCAGAAAATTTGCTGATTATCAAAGTTATTAACTGAACAACTAATCAATATCCATTTCTAATGAGCTGTAAAATCTCTATTATCTATGAATATCAGGACACTAGGATTTACATGTTATTTGTGAAATATTTCATCAGAAGGGTTTCTTAAATGGATCTAGCACAAAGGGCAAAATACATTTATAGTTTCTGTGGGAAAGCAAGGGAAACAGTCAGAAGCTTGAGAAAAAACTTTGTCAAGTCATTAGAAAAGGTTATTCCTTCTACTTCTTAATTTCAAATCCAATGTGCCTGGACTTCAAATACAAGGGACAGTCAGAGATGCTAAGCATGGAAGTGGTGCACATGGACAGAGGTGGAAGGGCATATCTGGATTGATAAAACTGAGGCTCAGAGCTAGAATTCACTTCTAAACTTTTAAAAATCATAAAATCTTGACAGAAGCATCCTTGCAGGTACCAAGCTCACTGGGCATACTCCAGATCATGCTGGCAACCACTGCAATGTGGGGACAGGAAATTGAGAGATGGGTCAGTCACAAATAATCCACTCTTAAGTGGATTATTAAAAAGGAACTCCTTAAAAAGGAACTAAGACTCTGATTTCAGAGTCTGTCATAGCTACAGTATGAGAGAGAGATTTTCAGCAGGTACCAGGCAGGACTTTCTAGTAAACATGTCTGGCAATAGTAAACATATGTGATGCTTCCATATATCATAAATGCAATGAAAAGGTTAGAAATAACTTGCTAAGAATACTTTGAGCAGAATTTAACTTATCCATTACATAATAAAACACCACTTCTGCCTTAAACAGAGCCACACTGTACTCAGGCCACAACCTGTCCTCTTCAGGAAGTTACTAACATACAACAGCAAAGCAGAAATCTTGATCTGCAACAGCAACACATAGACATTTTGGAGCACCCTTGCAGCTCAAAAATATTACTCAAACTCTTCTAATGAATCAAAGCTAAAACTACAGGTTTGGGGCTTTTTTCACAAGAATTGAAAAATAAGCCCATATTTTAACAAGTCACCAAATCTTCCACTTGAACAGCTCCAGAACTGCAGCCTGTACTAACACTGACCAAACTTTCTATTGAGGCTCTGCAGTCTGCCAAAATAGTCAGACAGGGCTTTGGCAAAATGTTTGCTTCAATTTGTATCCTAGCACTGCTTCTTTTCTAGAGTCTCAGGGAAGGGATAATTCAAAAAAAAGCACCGATTAAGTGGGCTGAACTGCACAACACAAAGCTTCCATTCAAAAAGCCTGCTGTTTTTCAACCCGAGTTGCCAACACCATTTCTCTTACTGCTCTGATCAGAATCCCATATTACAGCAAGAATTATATTTAAATCTTGACATACAGCAAAGACCACTTGGATAAACAGCACAGCAAACTAGAATTTCTTACACTAATTCTTATCATGAAGGCATGCATGAGCCCTGCAAGGAAGGCAAGAAAAATCATATATCTAATCCCACAGTTTGCCATATTATCCATCTGAGTTGTTCCCAGATTGAGGGAGGGCCCCAAGATGGCTCTGGAGTAACAACGCTGGCTGAAACCTGGCAGCTGTTGCCAGCTTTCCATGATGTATATGCCTTCCTGCAGAACTCTTTCTTAACGTTTCATGCAGACATACAGCACCCTCAATTTTCACTTCAACTGACCTAAAATAACAGGCAATTTCCTACTTCTCTCCCCAGAAGTCTTCAATTAAAAACATAATTGAGAATGTTTCTGCTGTAGCTAATAAATGGCATAGCAGCAGTGAGCTTACAGAACAACCACCCCTATAACCCAAGAAAAAATATACAAAGTTATTCTAAGAAAATAAATTGCCAGTCAGACTGCTCTAATTGATCCAAGCAGTGCAAGTTCGCTGTAGAAAACTGCATCAATAAAGTCCATATGTAGTTTTCATACCACAGTGGATTCAGACTGCTTTCTTGACTTCACACTAGGTATAAAACTCTGCATACATACCAAGAATCCAAAAAAATCTCATGCAAACTGACAAACAACTTCATATAACGACTTGCAGGTTTTTACATTCTATATTTTGATTGAAAAAGGCATCAAACCTCTAAATGAAAAACAGGATATAAAGGGTAAATAGATATGAAAGAATCTATTCAGTTATGCTTCTGTGCACAAGTCACAAGAAACTGGGAGTATGCAATGGTACTGTCCAACAAGAATTTCTATTTGAAAAGACTCATTAAAAGTAGGCGTTGCTGCATCATTTTTTATTAAAGGGCTGACTTTGGCTTGCAGTGTTTGGTTTGATTTTAAACCAGTGCATGTGATTTCCCATAGGAAGAAATAAAAATTGAGTAATGAGATTCCAGTAAAAACAAATTCAATATGTGAAAAAAGGAAAATCTCAGCACTAATCAGTACAGCTGCAGTGCCTATAGTGGTGCCGCATCAGCCCACTCACTCCCAGAGAATTCCCACCTCACCAAGATCCCAGTTCTGCTTCTGTTTATACCAACAGTTGCATCATAAAGCATCAAACTGTATTTTTGTAAAGAAAATTCAAAGCAGGAGTTACATTATTTCCTGGTTATGAAGTCAAACATTTTAGACCAAGTAAGTTACTCTTAACACTTTTTCCTTGAAAAGTTATTTCTAATTCCCTTTGACCAGAGCTTATTTCCCTCATTCCACTAGGATATGGTCCAGGTCTTTCCATTAACTGCTTTTAAGATTCTTTTTAGTTCATTCTTTACATTTTGTATAGTTTCAGAATGTTTCTTGGTCTTCTTTTTTTCATTTCTTTTTTTAAGGCAAAAAAAACCCCAAAACAATTTCTCTTTGATGCCATTCCTAGTGACATGTTTAAAGAATTCCAACTGAATTAGATTACTAGTTTGTCTTTACCAGGCTTAATTATGAAGGGTGTTTTGTTTAATATAGAGTTGTAAACAAAAGACATGCTGGAAAAAAGCAAGTATACCAAAACCCACTAGGTGTATGGTGAAGGTAAGACGGGCAGGGCAGCACACTATACTAGAATATTTTCTTTTATATTTTGCTCTATACAACAGAATCCCAACATTATCAAAATTTAATCCTCAAATAACTTAGGCTATTAGAAATCACTACCCTAAAATGCTCTAGAAATTGTTTCTGTAACACATACCCAAAATGCACACGTAATGTGGTAATAGAGAAGCATTATATAATAGTAAATTACAATGAAGTAACTATGACATGATGGATATGACTATCCATCCAGTGTAGCACAGAAAAAAATAAATAAATTACTAAGTCAAGGATCAATGTTGCCAAAAATTCTTCCTTCCAGTTAGTTTATGTTTTTTCATACACTGAGCGTGTCTATAAGGAAACAGCAAGAAAACATATTTATTTAAATACATTTATGAATTTGTAACTTCTTTCTCATAGACACAAGTCAAAGGGTGATGGTCAAAGGGTGATGATCAGGACTAGAAAAAATCATCTTAAAATACTCTATGCTAGACATCAATTAAAACCCTGGGAAAGCCTTGTGACCTTCCCGCAGAACTGGAAGAGAATACTGTTTTCTGTTCTCTGAATTCCTACTTGGTTGTTTACAGTTTACAAAAACTGGAGTTTTGGTCCATGATTAGAAAAACGCTGG